CATTGGAACTCTTTACGACAGGTAGTAAAGCAATGTTAGCTTAGTCTCTGGTAAAATCTTCACATAACTGTACCACTCACACACGAGCCTGATTTATTTCCTGCAATATAATGATTCGGTAGCTAATATATCTAACTGTGAAACGTGACGTAACCATTTTGGTGTGTTATGATCATCTATATACATTTACAACCCACAGGACAACTAATATCTTCACTGTTGACCTATTTTTGCATTAACGTTGGACAAAACAGTGAAAATCAGCCGAGGCTGCAATACAGAAGGGACAGACGGTAAATCTTATCATGTTATCGTTACTTGTTGCGCACTTTTGGTAGCCTTGACAACAGTACAATTTTTATGACGATATATGCTTAGATCATGTTATTTCATACAAAAATGAACTATTTGTCTGCCCTCAGTGTAAAATCAAATGGAAATAATTTAGTTTGCGATGCAAATACGGAAAAGCTATTATAGCAGCAACTGATTAGTGAATTTTCAAGGACTTCGCGATACCATGTACCGCAAAATGGAAAAGCTGTTTTCACTTATTTGTGAAAACGGATCCGTTTTCGAAAATAAACTGTCAAATTCCTTTAAAATTAATTTCGAATTTTGGCTGTGCATAAAGCAGAAATCTGAAAGTATCGCAAAAAAGTGTCATGATAACCTTGGAGCGTCAACATCAAGTAGAGCGGAACATATTAAACATTGTCCAATGATATTACTCAACGCAAAGCAGATGATAAATGTAATCACTAGCCTATTCAAAGTTATTAAACAACATAAAATTTATCATATTCTCTAAGGGGAAAGAGACGTTTTGATTCAATTGAAAATTATCACCTCACTAGCCTGGTTAGTACGGTAGTTATAAGTTCAAAAACTTATTTTAGGAAGAAAGCTTCGGTTTGTAGCGCGGCGTCGAGTTGAGATTAACTGTGAACACCGCTACCCAGAAACACGTGCCAGACAAATCAGAAGGCGAGGATCGATCGTAACCAGATTTATTTCGTTGGCGATCTCGTGGTATTGAACGAATACCGAGATCGTGCCAAGGAATGGTACAAGTGGAAGCAGAAGACAGGAGTACGTGCGAACAGTACCAAAAACCGCGGAACAATAATGGAAGGTAATGGAAGCACAAAATGGCTATAATTAGCACAGTTAAACAAAAGCACATTAAAACAAACACTGGTACAGTTGGTTATAATAATAATTGTTTTTATTAAACCAGTCGTGTTCTCGTGATAAACGTGAGTCACTACAGGAGCCCCCTGCTAGAAAGGGTTAACACTTTCGATAAATAGCGGTTTGAATCGTGGGACTGATCGGCTGACGAGCGATTGTAGGACGGAAGAATTGGCGAACAGGAAAGCGATCGTTGATCGTCGAGTTGCCAACGAAGGTCGTTTTCGGAGAACGGTATCAGGAGCGATGTGCTGCATTTGCTGTTTGAGTTGGCATGCTACACCAGAGTGGTTTGTATCCAGAATCTGAAGATGGCGTTCGTAGGGAAGCGGACCAGAAACGCTGCAGACGTAGGACGAAACCACGTTGAGCCAAAAGACCAGAAGCGACCGTAACGACCAAGTTCGAGACCAAGCGTACGCCAAGCATTCGAAACCAATATATCGACTGAGTACGTTGACAAGAGCGTGGGTGGCCAATCCAGCCTTCGCCAAAGTTGACTGAAGTCGACGGAACCAAACGGAGATGGTCGAAGGCGTGGGCTCAGGAAACAAAAAGAAAATTAAAAAAGAGAGGAGTGTAGCATGCAAGTAGCATAGGAATATTCCTACACCGTATCGGTTGTCGACTGTGCGACTAATCGAGGAAGCGTACGGGTAACCGTACTCGGCGACCGGAACGTGAGACGATAGTCTCGTTCGCGTCTCGTGAGCCTGCAATCTCATCCGAAGTCAAGGGCGGCGTGGTCTGCTGATCTGGACGTGAGACTGTCGTCTCGTCCTTAGACGGTGCAGATGACGCGTGCTGTTGACTGGGACGTGAGAGTGAGGTCTCAGTTGTATCTAGCGTGGGACCTGAAGATGGTTTGGGGATCCCGCTAGTAGGTTTGGTAGGTCTAGCATTGAATCTCAGGTTATCAGATAGGGCACTGTCATCGACGTGTGCTGGTTTGAGACGGTCAATGCTGACGATCTCGACGCGGCCGTGTCGATCAACCTTGAAGGTCTTTTCGTGACGAGCGATCACGCGAAAAGGGCCTTCGTAAGGTTGTTGCAAAGGTTTGCGAACCGAATCTACTCGTATGAAAACATGTGAACAGGTAGATAACTCTCGAGGTAGAGCGACCTGTCGATGTTGTATTCGAGTTGGCACCGGAAGCAGCGTTCGCATAAATGCAGACAGTCGTTGGACGTAGTCTGGTTTAGCGAAATTAGGTCTGCTCCGTGGTGTGAAGAATTCCCCGGGCAGACGCAATGTCGTGCCGTATACAAGTTCAGCGGCGGAACATTTTATATCTGCCTTTAAACTCGTTCTGATACCTAAAAGAACGAGCGGTAAGGTTTCATACCAGTCGTCGTTTTCGTGTGCTCGAAGAGCACTTTTAAGTTGACGGTGAAACCTTTCAACTAAACCGTTTGAAGCTGGATGGTAGGCGGTAGTGCGTATTCGTTCCGTACCAAGCAGCCGAGTAAGTGAGGAGAATAGTGCGGACTCAAATTGTTGTCCTCGGTCAGTCGTGACGGTCGAGGGACAACCATATAGAGCTATCCATCGTTCTACGAAGCGGTGAGCAACTGTCTCCGCCGTGATAGACGTGATGGGTATCGCTTCGGGCCATCTGGTGAAGCGGTCGATGCACGTGAGCATGTGATCATACCCGTGTGATGGTGGCAGTGGTCCTACAATGTCTAAGTGAACGTGATCGAAGCGAGCATCAGGCGTAGCGAATGTACCGAGGGGGGCGGCTACGTGCCTGTGCACTTTTGATCGTTGACATTGTAAGCATTGCTTAGCCCACATACGAACATCTTTATTCATGGACGGCCAGACGTATCGTGCAGCGATGAGGCGTAGAGTAGCTGCGATACCTGGGTGAGATAATCCATGCAGGGCATCGAATACGAGACGGCGATAAGCAGAGGGTACGATGGGTCGAGGAAGACCGGTAGACGTATCACATAGAATGGTGCCAGAAGTCGTGGCTAGAGGTACTTCCTGATACTGAAGGGACGTAGAGTGTGGTGCTTTTGTACAACCGGGATCGTTTGCTTGGGCAGCGGCCATAGCAAGAAGATCGAGCACCGGCAAGGTAAGTGCATTCATTTGGATTCGTGATAGAGCATCGGCAACACAGTTCGACTTGCCTTGGATGTGACGAAGATCTGTCGTGAACTGAGAGATATAGTCCAAATGTCTGCACTCTCGTGGTGAGTACCGGTCAGACTTGGTATGCAAAGCATACGTTAAGGGCTTATGGTCGGTGAATAAAATGAATTGACGTCCTTCTACTGCGTGCCGAAAATGTTGGCTGCTAGCAGCTCGCGACCAAAAGCGCTATATCTCGTCTCCGTGGTAGTAAGGCGTCGTGAGAAGAACTCGAGAGGTTACCAACTACCGGAGATGTTTTGTTGCATGACTGCTCCTATAGCGACATCGGATGCATCAACCGCTATACTAAGCGTGGCTGATGGATCGTGATGGGCGAGAAGAGTGGCTTGCGCAAGGGCCGTTTTGATTTCAGTGAATGCAGTACGCGCAGAATCGTTCATTTACAATCTGCGTGGGTTGCCGCGTAGTAAGTCGGTTAGTGGTCGTAACCGTTCTGCCGCGTGTGGGATGAAACGACGGTAGAAGTTAACCAAACCGAGAAAAGCCTTCAGTTCCTTGAGTGAGGACGGCTCGTTGTACTCCTTTATTGCTTGCACTTTGTCCTCACAAGGTAAAATACCCTCTTGCTTGATAACATGACCCAGAAATATGATTTCTCGTTTACCTAACTCGCATTTGTCTGGGTTAACTACTATTCCATTATCCGAAAGGCGTTGGAATAATAGCGTAAGATGTTGATAATGTTCATCTACGTTTGATGATGCGATTAGCAGGTCATCAATATAGACGTGAACAAAATCGAGGTCTCGTACAATGCTATCGATAAACCTTTGAAAAGTTTGAGCAGCATTCCGTAATCCAAATGGCATTCGTAGGAACTCAAACAAACCGAAAGGAGTCGTGATAGCAGTCTTTTCGATGTCTTCAATAGCGACTGGGATCTGATGATATGCTCGTACCAGATCGATCTTAGAAAAGATAGTCGTGCCCTTGAGCGATGCTGTGATGTCGTGTATGTGGGGGATGGGGTAGCTATCAAAGCGCGTAACTACGTTTAGAGCTCGGTAGTCGCCGCATGGTCTCCAACTAACCCCATCTTTTTTGCGCACCATGTGTAGAGGAGAGGCCCATGGACTGTGAGAAGGACGAATAATACGTCTTTGTAACGACTGTTCATTGAAATGATGCAAACAATGGTATGAAGTGAGCGATGCAGTGATAGAGCTCCATTCAAAAATCAGATTTATTGATAATTTCGTATAACACAATCAATATCTAAAGGCAAGTAAAAGTCTCAATGTTTATAGTTTGTCTGATCGTAAACAGTAACATCTACGCAGTAGTTTCATCTTGGCGTAAAGTGAAAAGATTGATAATTTTTAAAGAGATAATGTTTTTTTACACAATTCATCATGTCATTTTTGCTTGGCCTTTTTAAATATGCACTTTAAATAAGATCTGAACTACAAAGAATTAAGAGGTTCATTGTTTATGTCACGATGGTGAAATTACAATTTTCATAGTTCTCTTTTGCTCAGCATTTGAATCATAGGCTTTAAGTATTAAACGAGTTATTTTTGCAACATTGAACTCACAACCATTTTATCGATTACTTAATTTAAAATACAAAAACGGCGTTAGTGATATTTCCAGTTAACACGATGACAAACTGCAGATGTACTAATTGCACTCATAGCTTACTTGAAATTTCTTCCCAGAAAATTCTTTACTTTTGGTTGCGGAAAATTTGTCGGATATTCGCGAAAAATATGTCCAACCCTTGAACAGGGAACGTCAATTAGACGCCCACCACACATCCAAATTTTGAAAGACAATTCGTACTGTTCCCCACCCCAGATATCAAGCATAGGATCATAACCTCCCAGTTCCCAAAACCACTTTTTACTAATAGCAAACAGGCCACCTGCCATCACTGGACTGTCAAAAGGTGTTTCCGGATGAAGACTGTCAACTGATAACCTTGGAAGACGCTTATAGTAAAAACTCCAGTCAAACGCCCCACGGGCGCCGTCATCTTGAGCACGGTATTCGAAGGTGTCAGCATCAATCACATCAATAAAAGGGCATGTTACTGTCCGGTAATTCTTAGAAATTGGATCAAGAAGAGGTGGCAGCCAATTCACATTAGTTTCACAGTGAGAGTCCAAAAATATAAGCACATCACCGGTTGCCAACTTAGCACCTAACAATTTTGCTCGAATAAGTCCTTCTCTTTCCTTCAAGTGAATCACCCAAACAAGACCACCAGGATAGGTTCTTGAGAGATAATTATCAAGTCGCTCTTTTAAATGCCGTCGTGAGCTGCCATCATCAACCAAAATGACTTCTTTTATAAGCTCCAATGGTGACCGATTTAAAACAGATACAATAGTGCGAATAAGTGTTTCCCAATGTTCTTCGTATACAGGTATAATTATAGACACCAGAGGAAGTTGTTTGGAGTATAAAGCCCCCTTGCAATTCGGATATCGGATATCTTTTACTGATCTATCTGTTTTGATTTTTTCGCTTACAAATATATTAAAACCATTGAAGTTAAGAGTTCTTTTTGACAGAGCTTTTTGTGAATTTGACAATCTAACTGGTTGACCATTTTCTCCAGGCCCTTGTCTCATTCTTTCATAAAACGAAAAAGAATAGTTCTCCCAGTCTGTACACGTGGACTCCTTACAGTAATTGAATATTTTTGTTTGTGTTTGAAATTTAATCATATATCTATAGTGCAATATGAAACAAAACAAAAACATTGAAAAAGCAAATATGGTTATCCTGTGATGTCGAAAAGTTAGAAACCTCATTTTTAGTTAATATGTGTGACAAGTACAACACAGCTACAATTATATAATGAGTAACCCTATTAACTGTCAAGGATGACCCTGAGGGTGCGCGGTTACATATAGACGTCTTGAATTCGAGTATACGATATTAAGATGAGCTAAAAAAAACACTGCCCATAAGATTACGAGGAGAATATCAAGCTTGCACATTGTCTATCAGCCGTTTTGTGAATAATATTGTTGTATAAAGGGCCCAAAACTCACGAGGCCGTATATTATTTAAAACAGTTACTTGGGAGTGAGGGGGTGGGATGATCGTGAGTTTAAGAAACAAAATTGACAGTGATGTTTCTCTGCAATGATTAGTAAGGCTGAGGAGAGCTCATATTTGAGGGATTGAGACTAATATACAGTTCATAGTTGTTTATGATCAGGGTGTATGTTTGTTTCTTATGAAGACTGTAGGAAATGGCACTTATGTTTAGATTTATGGTAAGACTCGAGATTATGATCAGAGATAAGAAATAGTGTTAAAATTGTGGATTGCGACTCACATAATCCAATTAACACTCCAAGCCGAAAGTTTAATCCTTAGCCTTGTCTGTAACGCAAAACAACTTAAAGTCTACTTATACACGTTCATGTACAATACTTAGAAAATTTTTTGAGTTTTTTCACGACAGATTTGTCCGCAAAAGTCATTGAGCAGAATACTTTGGGTATGCTCCATTACAGTTGTGATGAACTCGATCAGCTGACGTTTCTACATTATGATGCGGTTTCAGTTTATTTTGATTGCTTTAACACGATATAGTGAAATCAACAGACAAAATGCTGTTTTGCCTTGTAATCACGGAGTGCAAATCCATATCAGATAACGGTAAAAAATCGGTTTCTGGTCAAATCTGTCTTTGTTTAGTTACGAAGACCTTGATTAGCTCTGTTCAAGGTAATGATTCCATATTTTAAATGTTTGAGGTTTTTACGTGCCAGTTGGCATGGTTTACTGGCTTCCACACACCCAGTCTCAAAGAACAAAAATCGTTAATAACTCATCAGAAGTGCCAATCACAGAGTAAGTGTAAATATTATTGATGAAATAGATTACGTGCTCATTCACGTCAACAAACATCTATGGATATATCCCAATACTTATGGGGTATTGGTTTCTTGGCTCATTTGGTCTTGAAACACTTTTTAAATGAAGATTACACGTATTCCTTCCTCCCAATAATACAACTGCGTATTTTGCTAAACGAAGCAGACATGATTTACACATGGTACATAATATGCAAGTATATGGGCGACAAATCTCCTGGTTTGCAGACAGCTTTACTACGACAGTTGGATGGAGAATTACTGGTTGTTGTTAATTATTGTTCAATTAATGGGTTAGGACCCATTCTCTTATAAAAGATGCAAGTGCAGGAAACCTTGTAACGTTGACGAGAACTATTTGGAAAGATGATACTTGACGCGTATCTTCAAAAAGTGGCGAAGCTCAATTTCTAGTTTGTTTTAATCGCATACAATTTTGTATCAACATCTTTTGTAATGACTCAAGAATTCAGTTTATCTGCATCGCATTGTGACACACCGCTTCATATGATACACTTCAGTGCAGTATATAAAAACGTTACCATTCATGGGCTAGAATAGAGACCAGTGGTCGAACTGTGATGAAAGAAGTCCTATGTGTTCCATTTATTCAGTCCTAAGTATGTTCGACCGCAATAGTTTCTGTTAACACATCAGTTGGACTCAAATGACGCCGATGGCATAATTACACTCCTCCATTTTTATTATTCATTATAAAGGCTCTGTGTTGGAGGTCTCAACAAAGGGTTGGACTTGTGGGCCATTGCCTTATCACCTTATTTATGACATAATAAATCAGGGGGTATCCACTTGCGCAATTCTCTCTCAAACAGTTTTCCTTATACAGCTACTCACGGAGGTGTTCGTTTTTTGCTGTTTGAAAATTTGTACTCACTTTGCTCTATAGACAGATAACGGGAGTCACAGGTTGTTTTTCTCATTCTTATGGGTAAATTTGCTTGTGCAAATAGGTAAAGCAGAGACATTTTGTTTTACCTTACCTAACTTCGTGACAGAACAACTAGCCATGTGTAGTTACAAGTAATGGCCTGATATTAAATAATAATTATTAATCCACATTTCTTTGTAACAATTTATATACGTTTAACAGCCTACAGTCATAGTGCAAGTAGCAAGCAACAAGCCTATCGGTCCCTCAATTTTCGGTCTTCCAATGTTCTTCCCCAATGAGTAGCCGACATTCAAACTATCTATTGTTGACATGATTGAAAACCTTACTGATATTTAATGCAAAAGACAAATCAATTTGTGTAGTGTTCGCATAATTTAGCCATACCTTTCATAATTTAAACATTAATAGTAGAGCAGTAGTAAATCTCGACAAAAATGAACTGATGAGTTATCAGACAGAACACTTAAAGTATTAGTCACTGGTGTCGCATCATACCTTATTTTTGTAACTTGATCAGTGAATGGAGATTTTTTTGTAAGAAATTATATAATAACGAAATATTTACTTCCCCATTACCGAACAACCTTATATATGCATCTATTGCATACTCCTCAATTGAACATCGCCTAAATGGACAGTTAAGATGCTGCGTTTAAACAAAAAATCATCAGTATGTCAGTTCATAATCGGTACCTTTCCCTTAAGACGTCCTCAGGAAAACGGCAACTTCCTTATTAATAACTTATCTACAGGCAGCATCTTTCAGCATGTATGTATGCATTATCATAAAGAATCATATTTATGGGTTGTTGATTTTCCAGGCGCTATTGTCTAGGAGAAAACTGAACAGTATTGGCTTGTAAGTTTCATCAACAATATATTTTTCATTGTTCGACGTTCCATCGGGTCAGAAAATGTTTAGAGTTGGAGCCATGTTACTAGACTCTAACTAAATCACCCGAAAGTCGCGTCACTGAATGTCGAATAGTTTACCGGTCCTTTCAAAGATTGGGAACAACTGACACGCGCCAATCAGTCGCACACCATGAACTGGCCTATGCATCAGTGGTCGCATTTCTGTTTCCTGTACGTAATCTTACCAGTATATTTCCGTAATAACGTTGTTCGTGTGGTACGGTCATCAAGGTAGCTATAATGCTCCAATAGGACGAAAGAGCACCAACAAATAAGTATGAATTCGGCGTAAACTAGAAGGTTACGCTATTGCTTTTTAGTCCAAAACGGCCTCAGTCATCAACATAGATGACCTAAGTTTCTTATCTAATACGCGAGTGATGTAGATGTACAAACTTTGAAGACTGACACAAATTACTGAAAAGCGACAAAAGTGGTCTCAATAAACTACGAATCTAAGCGATACACATTGTAAAAATTTACACCAAACGGCCAAAATCCACCCAAAAATGGCGAAATGTCGATACTGAGAATTACATGATAACATCTAATATCTTCACAAAAGTGATGAATGAACTGATCGCTGTTGTGTATGATTTTCTTTAACTAAAAAGCCGCTACTAGCTTTGGCATGGTTCAAGAGTCACTAGAAGTAGAAATCAAGATAGATATTTCTTTGCGTTCCGAACTCATGTATTCAATCTACATTTACATTCCTTTTATGTTTCTTAAAATGCATGAACTACAATTGCTGTAAGCATTGTATTCCATCTGTTGAGCTAATGAAGTCTATTCATATTTAATGGATAGTAGTTATTGATAGGGAATGATTTTAAGGACGCATCAAAGCACTTATTAAAATGCTTTCCGAAGATATACATTAGGCATTAAGTTGATTGCTTTGATTGAATTCTTTTCAATATAAATATAACCTCAAACAATTAACTTCCCTATGTTGGATTATCAGTAAAAATGATTGAGAAAGTCTGTCTACAGTTTTTTCAAAATATGTAATTAAATGCTTAAACATAAGTCATAACTATATGAAACCTTTGCTTCACTTTCAACTCTTAATGCTAATTGAGTTTACTAAATGTATTTTCGGCCGATTATTTTTAACCTTTGAATATCCGATTGTTTTATCTAACCGTTAAGAAGTGGATTTACTTACTTATTTATCTATATGAGTCTGTCAACCATCGTGAAGGAGCATAGACCACCCACCCACTCTGTTCTCGACAATCCTTTAAAGTTGTTTCCAGTTGCTATTCATCCTTTTCATGTCTGCTTCCAATTCTCGATGCAGTGTGTTCTTCGGAGTTCCTCTTCTTCGTTTCCCTTCAGTATTCCAAGTCAGCGCTTGTCTCATGAGGCAGTTTGATGATTTCCGCAATGAACTTCTTATCCACCTCCAGCGATTTTTTCCTAATTTTCTTTTCGGCTGGAAGCTCATTTGTTCTATCCCACAGTAGGTTGATTCTAATGGTATCCGGCCAACGGACATTGAGTATCTTACGTAGACAATTGTATATAAGTACTTATACATTTTTTATGATAGTTGTAGTAGTTCTCCACGTTTCAGCTCTGTGCAGCTGAACCATCTTTACGTTCGTATCGTGGATTCTCACTTTACTGTTGGCTGAGTTTTCCTTGGTTCCATATGTTCTTTAACGATAGGAATGTTGTCCTTGCTTCACCAATTCATACCTTCATATCTGCATCAGATTCTCCTTGTTCATCGATAATGCTGTTCAGGTACGTGAAAGTTTTCACCTCTTCCAGAGTTTATCCATCAAGTGTGATTTAGTTGGTGTCCCCTGTGTTGTGTTTGAGGACATTGCTTTTCCCCTTGTGTTACGGTGAGACCTACTGATGCGGAGTCTTCTACTACGCTGATTGTCTTGACCTGCTT